CGCCGCGAAGCGCAACTACGCCAGCTGCTCTTGCGATTTCGGATAATTTTGTGGGCTGTCTTCGGGCCCGGGGCCCAGAAACTATTGCCCGCAGGTGGGGGGTCACGCGTCCGAGGGACGGTGTCGATAGCTTCGCGGTCCAACCCACCGCGCGGACAGCGGGGGTGGGGCGGGGGGGCATGAGGCACTCGTGGCTTCCAAGGGGCCTTCTTCGAAGCCTCCTGTCCCCTCAAGGAGGCCACCTGCTTTCTGGGAGGAGCCACTCACTCGCCTCAACTCTTCAGAGGCCCTCCTACCAAGTGGCCCTCCTCGAAGCCTCCAGTCCCTTCCAGGAGGCCGCCTGCCTTTTGGACGGGCCACGTGCCCGACGTCAACTCGGGACACGCGGGTCTGGGTGTTTCGCGGGCGTTGTTGATGATGATGATGACGATGATGATGCTGCTGCTGCTGCTGATGATGATGATGATGATGATGATGATGATGACGATGACGATGACGATGACGATGACGATGACGATGACGATGACGATGACGATGACGATGACGATGATGATGCTGCTGCTGCTGCTGATGATGATGATGATGATGATAATGATGATGACGACGATGACGATGACGATGACGATGACGATGACGATGACGACGATGACGATGGTGAGGTGTTGTTCCAGGGCACTGGGCTGCACGAGCCGCTGGCCGATGAGGTACAGGCTCGGGTTGCACTCGCCTGCGCCGCTCAGTGGCGTCGCGTGGGGACTGCGTTCGAACTTCATTTTTGCACGGGCCACGTACCCGCCGCCGACCTTGGTCACCGCAGGTCTGGGTATTTTGGGGGGGGGCCAAGGGGTGCCCGCAGGCCTCGAGCTCGGCCCGGGCCCAGGCAGGGCTCGTTTCGATTTCTCTCATTCGATTCGATTCGAATCGATCTCGATGGCTTCCGATTCGATTCGACTTCGGATTTCGATGCGGACTCCGATTCCCTCATGGAGGCCTTACTACTCTTCCGATGATGCCGATTTCCGCCGATCCTATTCATGTCGATCGCCGATTTGACTCGTCGATTCGATTCCGGGCTCTCCTGGTACCCGCAGGCCTCCTCGAGCTCGGCCCGGGCGCGGGTCCCGCAGGGGGCGCCGCGGCCCTCGGCGGAGAGGGGCCGAAGAGGCCGAGCAACCACATCCCGCCGCGCGGCAGGGGCTGCGCAGAGGCCGCACAGTGGGCGCACGATGCGACGAACGACGATCTCGATCCTAATAGGGTCAGGGGCATTCGGTAGCAAATCACATTGTGGCCGCGCGCGGCGTCGGGCAGAGCCGGTTCTTCACCCTCAGTTAGCCTCAGTTAAATTCAGCTGACCTCAGTTATTAGCCTCAGTTAACCTCAGTTAACTTCAGTTAACCTCAGCCAACCTCAGTCAGCCTCAGTTAACTTCATTTAACTTCAGCTAATTTCAGTTAACCTCAGTTGGCCTCAGTTAGCCGCAGTTACACTCAGTTACCCTCTACACTCAGTCCCTCAGGGAGTCTGGAGCTGAAGATTTGTGTACCCGAGCATGACGCCCTCCTCTTCACCCGCCCCCGTTGCAGCAGCGCCTACTGTGTGGCGCGCAGGTATGCTGTTCGTTTGGCGCGCAACGTGTTATATTCTGTGCCAGCGAACCCCCCCCACACACCCCTCCACATAACGCGCGTTATGTGGTTTCAAAACAACTGGATCTCCTGGGCCATTCACTATTGTTGGCCTCCCGTGGGCCTCCCAGAGGGCGTCGTGTGGTTCACTTGGGTTCTGGCGGAAGCCTCTCGCACCACTTCGGTGTTCTTTTGGAGCTATTGGGTGGCTCTGGAGGCAGTGTTGAGCCATCTTGGCGGCCTTTGTGGCTTCTCTGGGCCTCCCTGTTCGGAAGCAAGTCATGGGAGCCTTGTGTACGCTCTTCATTGCATCTTCAGCGTCGAGTAACGTCGAGTAGCGTCTGGGATTCGATGAGAGATCGCGCCAGTTTAGCGTCGGTCAGCGTTCATTAGCGTCAATTGTTGACGCTTCGCGAATTCCCACCAGTCCACCCAGAAACGATGCCCAGAGGAATTGCCTTGATCAGGGAAGTGGGCAGCACACGGAGGAAGCCATTATGAGACATCATGGGATATCTTGAGCCATCTTGGATGTAATTTTGGGCTCTCCCAGTGCTATCTTGGATGTCATTTGGCGCTCTTGATGTCATTTGGCGCTCTTGATGTCAGCTTGGTCATCTTGGATGTCATTTTGCCATCTTGGATGTCATTTGGCGCTCTTGATCTGAACCAGTGCCCCCCCCAAGAGGCCAACATGTGGCTAAAACCTTCATAGAATCAATGATTTGGCATTCTCGCCGAGGCCTCTTGAAGCATCTTGGGCCTCTGGGGGGTCTCTTGGGGCCTCTTGGGGGTCTCTTGGGGGCCTCCTGGGGACCTCTTGGGGGCCTCTTGGGGCCATCTTGGGGCCATCTTGGGACCTCTTAGGGCCTCCTGGGCGCTTCTTGGGGCCATCTTGGAGGAGATCGATCAACCAAGAGGGGATCATTAATTTGCGTCCGCCCCCCTTGGAGGCCAAATTGGCGGGCCAAAATCTTAGTAAAACCAATGATGTTGGCTTCCTCGCCGAGTCCGTTTTGGCATTGTCGCCGAGGCTTCTTGAAGCATCTTGGGTGCCCCTGGGAGGTCTCTTGGGGCCTCCTGGGGGTCTCTTGGGGGCCTCCTGGGGGGCCTCTTGGGGGCCTCTTGGGGCCATCTTGGGGCCATCTTGGGACCTCTTGGGGCCTCCTGGGCGCTTGTTGGGGCCATCTTGCAGGAGATCGATCAACCAAGAGGGGATCATTAATTTGCGTCCGCCCCCCTTGGAGGCCAAATTGGCGGGCCAAAATCTTAGTAAAACCAATGATTTTGGCTTCCTCGCCGAGGCCGTTTTGGCATTCTCGCCGAGGCTTCTTGGAGCATCTTGGGTGCCTCTGGGGGGTCTCTTGGGGCCTCTTGGGGGTCTCTTGGGGGCCTCCTGGGGGCCTCTTGGGGCCTCTTGGGGCCATCTTGGGGCCATCTTGGGATCTCTTGGGGCCTCCTGGGCGCTTCTTGGGGCCATCTTGGATGAGATCGATCAAACAAGAGGGGAGCTTTAATTAGGGTCCCCCCCTCAGGACGCCAACATGGGACCAAAACCCTTGGTAAAACCAATGATTTTGGCTTCTTCGCCGAGGCCGTTTTGGACGCCCTGACACCTCGCGAGACCCCCCGTCCAGGAGACCGCGATGCTTGGTTCAAAACACGAACACACTGAAGGGCTGGGATATATTGAAGCACACAAGGACATCCAATAGTTTTGGCCTCCCGGTGGCCTCCTGGAGAGCGGCGTGTAGTCCGTTTGGGGCCTTGCGGAAGCCTCTCGCACCACTTGGGTGCTTCTTTGGAGCTGTTGGGTGGCCCTGGAGGCAGTGTTGAGCCATCTTGGCGGCCGGTGTGGCCTCCCTTCCTTCGGCGGCGAGCGAGGGGGGGAAGTGAGAAGGAGAAGGCCTTCTCAGAAGGCTCGCAAGTCTCCTGGCCTTCTGAGAAGTTTCCTAAGCCCCCCCCGAAGACAAGAGACAACTTCTCAGAAGGCGCGAGGGCTTCTGAGAAGTCCCGCCGCCTTCTGAGAAGGCCTTCTCCTTCTCCCTTTCCCCCCCTCGCTCGCCGCCGATCACTGGGCCCCCCTGGAAGCCTCAGAGTGCCAGGAGAGCCCCGGAAAGCAGTCGAGTCGGGCGTGGCTTAATGGGGGGGTCACAAATGGGGGGGTCAGAAAAGGTCCCCTTTCGTGCCCCTTTCGGGCCCCTCCAGAGCCCCAGGGGGCACGTTTAGGTACCGTTTGGGTACCTTTTCGAACCACCCTCGCCACCCCCCCATTTATGACCCCCGCTATTACGCGGCGCCCAACGTCAGAGGAAGCCTCGGGCGAGAGGGCCAGCGCACGCGAGGAAGCGTCTCGAGGTGGGGGGGGGGGTCGGCGGCGGGCAGCGGCCCTTGGGCGACTTGCAGAGGGACCGTTGCATGCAGCACTCCGGGGCTCATTTCGACTCCTCCGACTCGACTCGATTCGATTTCCATGACTGCCGACTCCGACTCGATTCGGCTTAGGATTCCGATCTGGGCTCCGATGTTTGAACGGAGGCCCACCAGCCTGCCGATTCCTGCCGATTCGACTTTTCCCGACTCGGCTGCCAATTTCTGCCGATCAGATTCATCTCGATCGCCGTTCCGACTCATTGATTCGATTCTGGGGGCGCTTGGCACTCGTCATTCTACTGCGCTTCGACGTGCCAGATCGTGTGGCAGCGGGGGAGGAGGAGGAGGAGGAGGAGGAGGAGGAGGAGGAGGAGGAGGAGGAGGAGGAGCATCGAAAGTTTCGGGCGCTGATGGGATGGACTTGGCTCTGAAGGGCAGCGGTCCACGTCGACGCTGTTTCGGACACATCGCCACCCATATTTTGAAGCAGCGGTCAGGACAGACGCTGTTTCATGGGGGAGAGGTGCCTCAACGCAGACGCAGACGCTGTTTCAACGTGGACGCAGACTAATTCGGTGGTTGGCAGGCAGTACTTGCACGTGTGTCATAGAGAGCCATGGTCAGCCCGTGCTTGCATCACTCTCCTGACGTGGAGCCCGCTGCATCCTCCCGTAGGTGACCCCACTTGCGCTGCTTGTACAAAGCGATGCAGCTTCTCGCGTTCGGCAGACGCGGCAGGCTCTACATCTCTTGTTTTGTTCCTTCTCTCTCTCTCTCCAGCTTTATATCTATCGCTTCTTCCCTCGCTGGTGAAGTTACAGCTGGCAACCGCGTCGAAGAGGCCCTGGCCGACCAGAGACCTGGTGGCAGCCGCACCATGCAGCCGGGTCCCCCCCCCTCTCGGTTGGGCAGCACGAGGGTTGCCTGATATGCACTCGAGGAGTCCAAGCAGCGACTCCGCAGAAGTTCCCGCCGCATTTGCTGTCGTGCCAGAGTTCGTTAGAGGGCAGCACCCGAGCACAGGCATGGGCTCTCGGAGGCCCGCGCGGGTTTCTCGGGCCCGCGCTCGACACTCCGTCGCGCCCCCTGGCGGCACCGACCCCCGGTGCGCTCTGCGCGCCAGGGGAGGGGCGTCGACGTGGGGTTGGGGGGGGTCCCGCGTCTGCCCGGGAAGTATCCGCGCGGGCAGCTCGAGAGCTTGGGCCCGTGGCATTCCTCTCCGTTCCAGTGCCAAGAGTTCCTGTGCGGCGCGGAACCTTGATGGCCCGCGCTGCCTAATACCAGCGCCGCGCGGGCCAGAGCTCGATGCGCGGCCCGCTCGGCTGGCAGTTTCGGGTTGCGCCGGGTGCACGCCGCTGCGTCCGCCGCGCCGTGCAGTCGACGACTCTCCCGCCGCCTGCTGTCCTCTTCCTCCTCATCCTCATCCTCCTCCTCCTCCTCCTCCTCCTCCTCCTCCTCCTCCTCCTCCTCTCCTCAACCTCCTCCTCCTTCTCCTCCTACTTAGCGGCAATGTTAGGGGGGGATAGGCTCAGGGGGGATGCATCGGCCCCCCATCGCCCATTCATCACCAGCAGGGGTCTGATAGCCCCACCTCGCCCAGGACCCGGCGGAACCGTCACCCGGGGCCTATCGTCGATATACAGGCGATGCATCGCCGATTCCAGCTCGATGTTTGTCAGGAGGGAACAAGAAACACAGTCACGCACAAACGTCGATTCCCAGGAAAATCTGGGACAATATGTGAAGTGGAGGAGAAGACGAGCATCAAGAACATATACATACATATCGAATTTATAGTTATATTTATATGTATACATATCTTTACAAAATCACAAATGGAAAGGGGGTCCCGGAGGCCCCGGAGTGCACTGATTTCGCATCCAGCCGTCTTGGACGCGTCGGGGGTGCCAGAACTCGTCAAATGAGGGGAAGGGGGGCGACGAGAGGGCCCGAGAGACGTCCAAGAGGGCGCCAAGATGACCCAAGAACGCTCCAAGAGAGCCCAACACCGCGCAAGAGCGTTTCAACATGGGTCTAACATGGCTTGAAGACAGCCTGCGAGGGCTTCAGGCTGCCAAGATGCCCTCAAAAGGACTCCCACGAGGCCCTCAGGAGGCGAATCAAATAATTTTCGCTTATTACCTAACAGCGAAGACTGATAGGTTTCTAGTGGGGTCAAAAGAGAGCATCCTGATTCCCCAGGGGGGTCTGGGCAGGATCCGGGGGATGCCGGGGAAAACGGGGGACTCCCCATTTTCACTGCCAGGAGCAACATTTTGACTGCCTGGAGCCAACAGAACACCACTCCCGGGCCACATTTTGAATGCCCGGAGCCAACTGTAGGCCACTTCGTGTACTGCGTGCTCCCAGAACACCATTCCCAGGCCACATTTTGAATGCCTGGAGCCAACTGTAGGCCACTTCGTGTTTTTCTTCGCGTTCCCAGAACACCACTCCCAGGCCACATTTTGAATGCCCAGAGCCAACTGTAGACCACTTCGTGTTCTTTGTGTTCTCAGAACGCAATTCCTAGGCTAATCTTGAAAGCCCGGAGCCAAAGGTAGGCCACTTCGTGTTCTTCGTGTTCCCAGAACACAACTCCTGCACCATATTTCGATTACCCGGAGCCAACTGTGGGCCACATCGTGATCTTTGTGTTCCCAGAACACCAGTCCTGTGCCATGTTTTGAATGCCCGAGATGAGGCAGGCTGAGGCCGAGGCAGGCTGAGGCCGAGGCAGGCTGAGGCTGAGGCTGAGGCACGCCGAGGCAGGCTGAGGCTGAGGCTGAGGCAGGCTGAGGCTGAGGCAGGCTGAGGCTGAGGCTGACGCAGGCTGAGGCCAGGCAGGCTGAGGCAGGCTGAGGCAGGCTGAGGCTGAGGCAGGCTGAGGCTGAGGCTGAGGCGAGCAGGCTGAGGCTGAGGCAGGCTGAGGCTGAGGCTGGCTGAGGCTGAGGCAGGCAGGCTGAGCAGGCTGAGGCTGAGGCAGGCTGAGGCTGAGGCCGAGGCAGGCTCAGGCCGAGACAGGCTGAGGCTGAGACTGAGGCTGAGGCTGAGGATGAGGCCGAGGCAGGCCGAAGCTGAGACAAGGTGAGGCTGAATGGGGGGGGAAGGGGGGGGGAGGAGGGGAGGCTGAGGCAGGCTGAGGCCGAGGCAGGCTGAGGCCGAGGCAGGCTGAGGCTGAGGCTGAGGCAAGCCGAGGCAGGCTGAGGCTGAGGCTGAGGCTGAGGCAGGCTGAGGCTGAGGCAGGCTGAGGCTGAGGCTGAGGCCGACGCAGGCTGAGGCCGAGGCAGGCTGAGGCTGAGGCTGAGGCTGAGGCAGGCTGAGGCTGAGGCCGATGCAGGCTGAGGCTGAGGCTGAGGCAAGCCGAGGCAGGCTGAGGCTGAGGCTGAAACTGAGGCAGATTGAGGCATCCGTCGGAATCCATAGGAATCCTTAGGAATCCCTATGAATCCTTAGGAATCCGTAGGCATCCTTAGGAATCCGTAGGCATAGTTAAGCATCCTCAGGAATCCTTAGGAATCCTTTGGATTCCATTGGATCCTGAGGCCATTGCCACTGCGACTGTCATTGCGAATGCGACTGCGACTGCGAGAACTGCAGAATTTGACAACTGGATTCTCACCTGAATCTTAAGGGGAATGCTTCCAGATATGCTTATACACATCGCTGTTAGGTTGCTTCGCCAGGATATGTTTTCTGTTGTTTCTCTCCCAGGTGTTTGAAGGTTCGTGTTTTCGTTGTTTCGTGTTTCCGACGGTCCAAGGCAGCCCACGAGGCCCCACAAATCACCTTAAGAGGGCCCAAGAGGTGCCCAAAGAGGGCGCCACGACGGCGCAAGAGAGTCCCAAGACTGCCCCAGAGCGTCTTAAGACGGCCCAAGAGGCGCCCAAGATCGCCCAAGAGGGCCCCAACACGGCCCCGAGAGGGGTCCAAGAGATGTTCACGAACCGACAATTCGAGCCTTCCGCCCCAAGAGGCCTCCAGGAGTCCCCAAGAGGCCCCCAACAGAGCCCAAGAGGCCCCCCAGAGGCTCCTTATAGGCTCCACGAGGCCCCGAGGAGGCCCAAAAAGAGAACCAAGAGCAACCCAAACGGCACCCAAGAGGCCTCCCAAATTGCCTTCAAGAGGCTTCCAAAATTGCCCCCAAAACATGGAATTGCATTGCATTGCATTACATTGCATTGCATAGCCCAGCATCCCGTGTCTGTGCATACCATGTAATGCGGTGACATTCATAGGAAGCATAGCATGAGATGGTTCAGCGCATCATCATCTATTATCAGAGCTTTCCACAGAAGAACATGGCATGGCATGCAATGCGCACTTCAGAGTACATCATGTTATTGCATTGCATACGGCATCGTGGCATTGCGCTTTATGACGTAGCATGATGTATCATGGCATCTCCTTCGCCCCTCCCACCAGCCCTCCTCCCCCCCACCTTTCCCATCCCCCCTCTCTCGCCTCTCCCTCCTCCTCGCCGTGCCCCGCACCCCTGGCCGCCATCCACCGTGGCACGAGCGCCGGACGCTGGAGAGCGGCGTCACACCGCGCCGTGCACGTGTGCCCCGGCTTTTTGTTTGAACCATTTTCGGCTCGCGGTCTCGAGCGTGAGCCTTCTATGCCTCCTGTAGCGCTTCGCGCCTGCCGCGAAGCCACCCTGCGTGATCGTTCGACCTCGTCGCGCCCCGTCGCCCGCCGCGAGACCATCCTTCTTAAGTTAGCGTTCGATTTCCTTGAGTTCCTCGGCGGCACAGAGCGCAGGGGGTTCGGTCGAGATCTGCCGCCTTCGTGGACCGGTCCATGTTGAAGCTATGGGTCTTCAATCATGGCGAGGAGGAGGAGGAGAAAGACGAGGACGAGGAGGACGAGGAGGAGGATGAAGAGTAGGAGGAGGACGAGGAGGGGAAGGGGGGGGGGAGGCATGGAAAGAGTGAGGCTGCGTCGCAGGCGGTCGCATTCGGTCGGTTCGGCCCGGCCAGTTTTCGGCTGTGCTGCCGCTGTGGGCCACCCTGGAATGGGAGGGACACGCAGGGGACGGACATGATAGGCTTGTTCTCCACCACCACCACCATAAGTTGGAGGGGTAGGGGGTCCTCCTCCTCCTCCTCCTCCTCCTCCTCATCCTCTTCGTCCTCCTCCTCCTCCTCCTCCTCCACCTCCTTCCCCCCTCAACTTATAATGGTGTTGGTGGAAAACAGGCCAATCAGGACAGGGCGTGGACGAGAGAGGGAGAGAGAGAGGGAGGTGTGGCGGCAACCTGTCTGGGCCGAGCGCTGGCCCATAGAGAGCTCGAACAGGAGGCAGGTGGTGTCTGACTGCCTGGGCACGCCCGGGCGCACCCCCGATGGGCCTGTTCTCCACCACCACCACCACCACAAGCTGGAGGGGGGACGGAGGAAGAGGAGGAGGAGGAGGAGGAGGAGCAGGAGCAGGAGGAGGAGGAGGAGGAGGAGGAGGAGGAGGAGGAGGAGGAGGAGGGGAGGAAGAGAGGAGGAGGAGGAGGAGGAGGAGGAGGAGGAGGAGGAGGAGGAGGAGGAGGAGGAGGAGGAGGGGAGGAGGAGGAGGAGGAGGAAGGAGGGAGGAGGAGGAGGAGGAGGAGGAGGAGGAGGAGGAGGAGGAGGAGGAGGAGGAGGAGGAGGAGGAGGAGGAGGAGGAGGAGGAGGAGGAGGAGGAGGAGGAGGGGGGGAGGGGGAGGGGCGGGGGCGGGGGAGGGGGAGGGGGAGGGGGAGGGGGAGGGGGAGGGGAAGGGGAGGAGGAGGAGAGAGGAGGAGGAGGAGGAGGAGGAGGGAGGAGGAACAGGGGGAGGAGAAGCAGGAGGAAAGGAGGAGAAGAAGGAAGGAGGAGGAGGAGGAGGAGGAGGAGGGGGAGGAGGAGGAGGAGGGGGAGAAGGAGGAGGAAGACCCCCTCTCCCCTCCAACTTGTGGTGGTGATGGTGGTGGAAAACAGGCCCATCAACCCCGAGGCCATCCTCCGCTGGCCTGGCCCCCCCTCTCCCCCGTCGTGGGCCCCGTGTCGTCAACCTCCTCCTCCTCCTCCTCCTCCTCCTCCTCCTCCCCCTCCTCCTCCCCCTCCGTCCCCCTCCCCCAGCGTGGGCCCGGGGGAGTGGGATTCCGAGGCGGATGGCCTTCACGCCTGCCGCGCAGCCCGCCCTGCGTGATCCGCTCGACCTCCGGCGCGCCCCATTCGCCTGCCGCGAGGCCGCCTTCCGTTGGGGTAAGCCGGACAAAACACAGTATTACACCAGAGATCACCCCTAATCAGTGGATGGCTTGATGAGGATCGATCAGGAGATCGACCAGGAACCTGGGAGCCCTGGAACCCAGAACCCACCGAAATCGGCCCGGAACCAATAACCAGGAACTTGGGAACCCGGAGCGGGGAACCCGAGAATCCAGCTTGCTACAAAAATCGGCGGGAAATTTTCGCCAAATCTTCCAGTTTCCGCTAGGACCCCTTCAGTGCAAGCACTGATTGGGGAAAAAGGTAGTCAGGGGGCCATTGGTCGATTTCCTTTTGACTATGTAGTACTTGCGCTCCAGCTCACTTCAATCGAGCGCGTTGAGCTGTAGTATGTTTCCACTCTTGGAAGGTTTTCCTCCGAAGTCCGCCTGTCGGAGGACATGCCCGACCTGACGCTCGAGGGCCTCCACGCTGGCGGATCCCGAAGGGGATCTTGCGGGTCTGACCGCACATGGGGGGCGAGCAGCGCCGACAAGCGCAGGCCGCCGTCTGTTGACGGCGTGCAGAGGGGGGGCATGGAGGAGGAGAGGAGGCTTCTTAGAAGGAGGCTGCTTCTCAGAAGGCGCGGGCGTTGTCTGTTGATGTCAGGCCCGCGATTCTTCAGAAGCAACTTCCTTCTGGGAAGCCTTCCCCCCTCCCCCTACCCCCTTTGCGCGCCGCCAAGCCTACATCTGGCACTAGATTCTTTGCGGGTCTCAGCGCGAGCACGCGAAGATCCCGACGCTCCGATTTTGGGCTCGACGGGGACAGCGGCGCGACTGGGTAGAGAGGGCTCGAAGAAAAAAACAATGCTTGAGCATAAGTCATCGGAGCTCCGCGGGATCCAAGAACTCCGCGCGGAACTCCTAGAAATGATGTTCAGGCAGTGTGAGAGAGAGAGAGAGAGAGAGCGAGAACAACAGACAAGGAGTGAGTGTTCTTGCGAGGGTGAGAGGGTGAGAGAGAGAGAGAGAAAAAAGAAAGAGAGAGAGAGAGAGAGAGTGAACAGGAGCTATTGGGCGCCAGACGGACAGAGGTTTGCAGAGGAGGGGGCAGGAGGAGGAGGATGAGAGAGAAGGGTAGCTCCCCTCCAAAAGGCGGAAGAGGCGCGAGAGGGAATGATCCAAGATGCTGCACCCGTCGATGTATCTCTTGCTCGTCCACCGCCGTCTTCTATTTATCATCGATTTGAAGCTCCGGGTTTTCAGAGTGCTGGGCACGTATGGCACGTCCTTGCGCTTCACTCGCGCTCGGCCTCCCAGCAGTGCGTGCGAGGCTACAGATCCGGTCGCCGAAAGGAGACCGTAGCTTGCGGAGTCGGCGATTGCAGGAGAGCAGCGTTGGGAGGGTGATGAGAGGGAATAGGAGAAGGGGAGACGAGGAGGACGGGGGTCCACGCTGGCTAACATTTCTGAATGGGAATGCGCTCGCTGGCAAGTGGATGCGAAAGTACAATGAGGACGGGAGGCAGAAATACACGCCGAGTTTTGCGTGTCTTCCGGGCAGGGAGCAAGGGTACCACCGCGTGGGTTCCAAATATTCATTCGTGAAACAAGTGAAGAAGCATATGCGTGTGGAACCCTCCGTTAGTGGACCTCTCAAATGTGAATTGCATATGTAAGCCACAGGGAGGTCAATCCATAAGGGTCCACGCGGCCGCCGAGCAAAAGTGCGGCATCAGAGGGCAGCAGGTTGGGAAGCCGTTTGGATCGAAGCTGCAAGGGTACAAGCAGCCACTTGGCAGTGGCAATGTAACAACTCTCTCTCTCTCTATATATATATATAGGTATGTCCTCTTTTCAAAGTAGAAGCAATAGCCAGCTGACGAGTGTGCCGTATTTCGGTTTCTGGTTCAAGCTCTTTCCCCAATGCCCGTTTTGGGCGAGGCCAAGGCTCTTTTCGAGGGGGCCGCTAACTCCCTGATCACATCCTCCTCAGCGGCCGTCCTTTCCTGGGCCAGCCGGGTCCCGTGCCCTGATTGTCGGCCCGTGGTCAATTGCGATTGCCCGAGCTGCCCCACCGTGAGCTGCGGCGACGTGATCAAACAGGAGGCGAGCGACGCATCCTGGCTGGGTTCGTTGCTGTGGTGCATCCTCTTCGTCAGCATCGGCTTCGTGATCGGACGGCTACCCCTTGCGTGGGCCTCTGCGGCCCGGAGCTCGCCTCACCCCGCTTAAGTGGTGACTACAGAGGCGATTGAGGTAGAGCCGCTCGCGGAGCAGGCTCGGCTGCAGCTGGAGGCCCTGGCGCTGAAGCGGCGGGTGGGCTCCCGCTCGACTGGGCAGTGATGGCGATTGCCGCGCCTGGCCCTGGAGTGTACACCATCCTGACTCCAGACGACGACGACTACGACGAGGACGCCGCGGTGGCGGCCGACATCATTGAGGCGGAGCGGCTGCCCCAGGGCACGCAGGGTGGTGTGCCGCCGCTGGTCGGCGGCGCGGCCGTCCCAGCCCCGGTCTACCGTTTTCGCGCTCTGCCCCTGCCGGCTCGGCTTGTGGGTGCGAGGGCCGCGGGAGCCGCGCGGCTGGGCTTCGCCTTGCCGGCCGAGCCCTTCGCGCTGAACACGGTTGGGCGGCCGCTCTCGGTGGGGCCCGGCACGCCCGTGCAGGCGGGTGGCCTCGACGAGGGCGGGTTCTTCGTTGTCAGGTACAACATCCCCGGACCAGTCCTGTGGCACGAGAGGGTCGTGGTCTTCAAGCCGGGCCCGCCGCCCGTGGGCGCGGCTCCGCCCGACGGAGGAGGCCTTGCCGCCCCGGCCGCCGCCCTGGGGGGGCCTGCGGCGGCTGGCGCCCCAGCGGGCGCCCTGGTCCCCCCTGCAGCCGCGGCCCAGCTCGCGCCGGTCGCAGCGGTCGCACCTGCTGGGGCCCTGGCGGGTGGCGCCGCCGCGGGCGTTGCCGCCGCTGGCCCCGCTGGAGGGGCTGCAGGAGCCGGAGCGGCGGCCGGAGCAGCTCTGGCGGCCGCACCCCTCGTGGCGGCCCCTGGAGGAGGCCTCGCGGTGGCGGCTGGCGCTGCGCCTGGTCGCGGTGGCGATGCTGGGGCCCCCGTCTTCGACTTGCGCGTGCAGGTCATCGCGGTCGACTCAGGGGGTGCGATATCGTGAGTTCAGGGCTGCCGTCACCACGTCCACGGTCACGCCGTTCGCGGATTGGCCCGTGCGCGGGCCGCGCACCCTCCTCTGGGTCAGCAAGTTCATCGTGGCCAACGGCGGCTCGCCAGTAGCCAGGCACAACCGATGGAAGGCGGAGGCCCGCCTCAGCGGCTCAGAGCCTGGGGTGGAGAAGCACCTCCGCGTGTGCATGGCTTTGGAGACGGCCGCCTGCTACGATCAATTGGACATAACTGAGATCGCGTCCTTCGAGATGTTGGGGCGGTCTCTTCAGGTGCAGGAGGAGCGACACAGGGATCGCATCATCGGGTCCGAGGACAAGGTTGATTCTCACCTCCTTCTGGGTTCCGACCTCGCGAGGGGCAGCGCGCGCGTGGCCCCCGAGCTCCAAGGTTGGATCGCGCAGGAACTCGCCAAGGAGGTCTCGGCGATGAAAGAAAGGCGGAAGGCGCGGGAGGAGCGCAACGCCAACCGCCAGCCTCGCCATCCCAAGAAGACAGGGGACAAAGAGCAGGGGTGAATGCCCCCGCCGACACCGGCACAAGGGCACCGGTGGGCGGCGACCAGATGTTTGAGCCCTCTCCGACCGATGCGCCACGGTCGGGTAAGTCACCTGATGGCGCTGCCTCTGCTCGTGCCAGAGACATCTTTCCCCTTCCCTTCCTCTCCCCCCCCTGTAGGTCCGGCCGCGGTGCCTCCGATGTGAGTAGGAGCGTCACTCGACGCCGTCGCAAGGCTAGGCATTCTGTCGACTGGGCCAACGATGCCATTTCTTCCCTCAACAGTGCATATGGCTTTGGACCGGCCCGCCGTTCTGCGAACCCGACTTTATGCCAGAGGAACGTCCTCGTTTGCCTGGGTAAGCAGTTTCGAGAGGTTGGCCCCCAGCCAGCTGACCTTCTTTCTGGCGCGGGAGCCCTTAGTGAGCTCTGCGCCGCTAGTGGCCTGTACGACTCTGCTGGGACCACTAGGCGACCGTTTTCCCAGGATCTCGTCTCCTGGCCAGATGAGGGGACTCGCCCGGTTCCGCTGGGTGATCTCCTTAGCGCTGGCGATTGTGAATGGATCGGTCGTGCCCACGAGAACTTGCTAAGGCCCTCTGAAGAGGCTCGAAGTTTGATTCGGGAAGCTTGTCCGTTGGGGCCGTATGCGGGTCCGCTGCTAAGCTCGTCTCCTGCTCGGCACGCTGCGTTTGTTCGTAAGCTGGTCGACCGGGGGATGGCCACTTCGAAGCTCGCCACTGGCCGCCCCAGCAAGTTTGGTGTTTTCTTCGCAGCGACAAAGTCGGGTAGGCTCAGGCTTATATTCGACACCCGTGTTGTCAATTGTTTTTAAAGACCCTTCCTGCCACCCGTCTTCCCACCGCAACGGCCCCTGGTTCTGTTGAGCCCCTGGGGTCCGACGTTTTTGTAGGATCAGGTGACATTGACAACTGTTTCTATCGCATGGGCCTGCCGGCAGAGCTTCAGGATTTTTTTGCCCTTCCCCCATCGATGCCTGAGTTGCTGGGTTTGCAGAGGTTGAAGGCCACAAGGTGGGACCAGGGACCGTACTCGAACCCGTTCTCACAATCCTTCCCATGGGGTGGAGTTGGGCCATGCGCATCGCCCAGTCCGCACTGCTGAACGCCCTGGGCGACGCCGGCATCGATGGGTCGGACCTGGTCGTGGACGGCAACCCGGCCTCCCCGATCGACGATGTCAAGGGTGTGCGAGTCGCGGGTTACGTCGACAACTTCGTTGTTTTCGGCCGGAGCCCCGACACCGTGGATTCGACCGTGCCCCGAATTCGCTCCACCCTCGAGGCCAACGGCCTCGTCGTCCACGAGCTGGAATCCGCCTCTAAAGACGCCTCCTTCCTGGGGTTGGAGCTCAATTCGGGCCAGAGGCTCTCTATCCGTCGACGAGGTCTCTGGAGACTACGGCTGGCCTTAGAAGAGATCCTCAGACGCGGGCGCGCCAGCGGATCTCTTCTACAGGTGGTGGTCGCGCATATTACTTTGGCCGCGCTACTTCGGAGGGAGGCTCTCAGTTTTTTCAGATGACGTCTATGCCTATATCGAGAAAAACAGGGGTGACGTTGTCGACCTCTGGCCTGGCGTTCGCAAAGAGCTGTGGAGATTGCGATGCGTCCTCCCGCTCTTTACAGTGGAGCGGGGGGCCGAGTGGCACGACCAGGTGCATGCCTCATATGCCCCCCCATTTGGTCTAGGTGCCCCTGTCCGACGCGTCTGCCCTCATGATGTTGGCGCTGTTGGGAGATTGTGCGAGCGATGGAGATACAAGGTCGAAGAGCATTGTCGCCCCCGGGAGGCCGCCCTCGCCGTCTCGTCTGCCCCATCCTGGTCTCCGTTCCCCCCGAGGTGGCCTCGCTGACAGTGATAGGGGCCCCGTTTACCCGGAGGGAGTTGCCCGACGTTTCGACGAGGTCCCTGAGGAGCTCATGGACCCCGACAGTTGGGCCCGCATCGCTACCTGCCAGGTGTCGGTCGGCACCGACATCCTAGCTCTGGAGGGGGAGGCTCTCATCCTCGCCATGCGCCGCGCCTTACGCAGCGAGAGCGCCCTCGGTCGTCGTCTTCTGTTCATCGTCGACAATCTTCCGTTGGCCATGGGTGCCGCCAAGGGTCGGGCCAGATCGAAGTTCCTCAAGCCTTGCCTGACGAAGCTCGCGTGTCTGTCGCTGGTCACTGGATGTCGTTTTACTGTCAGATGGGTGCCCACGGAGAGAAACGTGAGTGATGCCCCTTCTAGGGGGAGGTTTGGCTGGTTTACTGGGTCCCGAGCTATCAGACGCTGCTATCCTTCGTCGCGCATATCGGCTCACAGGGCCCCCCGTTTGGGGGCCCCGCCTGGGCTCCCCCCGCCCAGCTCGCTACAAGCACCAGCCGCTGTGGATGCCCCGCGCCCGCCCGGAACCTGGGCGACTGCAGGCGGCGAGCCGATCGGGGAGCAGGTCTACCTTCCTGAAGGCCTTCCGCGCCTCGGCGGCCTCGGCAGCGGTGCGGGGGCGGCCCCCGCTCGGGGGGCTCTCCTCTCTGGAGCGGCTTGCCATCCGTCCTTCCTCGGAGACCCTCTACAGATCGCTGGTGAAGGGTTTCCAGGACCACTGCCTAGGGCTGGCGCTGGACTGGCACGAGCGGCCCACCCTCGACGGCCTCCTGGTCGATTTCTTCAACGGCCTGCACCTGGAGGGACTGGGGCCCGACGTCGGCAGCGGCACGCTGGCGGCCTTGGCGCACTTCCTGCCGGGGTTGGGACGCTCGGGGGCTACGCTGCTCCCTCGAGCCTCCCGAGCGGTGCTGGGCTGGAGGCGCCGCGCCCCACCGTTCACGCGGCTGCCCATGCCGCGGGCGGCCATGGGCGCGATCGTCGGCTACCTGATCCACCGCGGCCTCCTGCGGGCTGCCTTGCTGACCGCCGTCGCCCACGTGTGCTACCTGAGGCCGCAGGAGATGATGCAAGTGCGAGCTCGTCACCTCATTGCCCCCGCGGTGATGGCGGGGCCCGCGTACCAGTACCGGTCCATCCTTCTGCGCGACTCCGCTCTCCTGCAGGCGGGGAAGACCGGAGTGTACGACGACGCCGTGGTCATCGACATGGACGCGTGGCTGTGCCCGGCGCTGGCCTGCGCGCGGGCGACGCTCAAACCCGACGACCTCATCATGGACCTGAGCTTCGTGGAGTACCGGCGGGTGTTCATCGAGGGCGCCGTGCTCATGGGGCTGGGCCCGCTCGAGCCGCACCCCTGCCAGCTGCGGCGCGGCGGGGCATCGGAGGACCTGACTCTGGGCCGCCGCTCGGCCGAGCAGGTTCGCCTCCGCGGGAGGTGGGCCACCTTCGTGTCCGTGAAGAGATACGCCAAGGACGCAAGGCTGCTCGACACCCTCAGCTCAGTGGCGCCCGAGGTGTTCATCTACGGCAACCTCGTGCTGAACTCCTTGTCGGAGCTGCTGCGCAACGGCAGCGGCCTGCCCGCGGGCGCGCCGCCCCTCGCCGCGGCGGCGCTGACGCACGGGCTGCCTGTGCCGCCGCCGGCGCGCTCGGGGGCGCCCCACGGCGCCAGGAGGTAGTCCAATACCTCAAGGGCGCCCTGGCCTCCGAGCTGCGCCAGGCGGCCCGCCTCCGTCGCTTCGCATTCTTGGAGCTGTTCGCAGGATCAGGCCAGCTTGGTAGGGCCCTCAGGGCTGCAGGGCACGCATGTGTGTCTCTGGACATCAACAACGGGCCCTTGGAGAACCACCTCAGTCCGGCCTTCTGGAGTACTGTTCGTGGGTGGCTCCAGGGTAGGGTGTTGGTGGGCGTCTGGTTGGGCACTCCGTGCGCTACGTGGTCTCGGGCTCTGCGCAAACTTCTCAGGACCATCCAGGCCCCGATGGGCCTTGCTGACCTCAACAAGTCTGAGCTCGCTAGGCTTCAGGTAGGAAACGACACGTTCGAGCTCTCCGTACACGTCATCAGGGCGCGCGTTCGTCTTGGGATCCCGGTGTACCTCGAGAACCCCGCTTCCTCCGTTATGTGGCATGCCCCCTTGCTGGGCCCTCTCCTTGATCATCCTGAGTGCCATGTTCATCTACTGGATATGTGTCGCTTTGGGGCTCCTTGGCGAAAAAGGACCAGAATTGCGATGTGGGGAGCTGGGTTCCATCCGTGTATTCATCAACGATGCGCTGGACAGAAGGGCCTGTGCTCGGCTACCGGCAAGCCCCATCTGATACTCGAAGGTGCGGACCCTGCCACTGGACGAAAGAGGACAGCCGCTGCCGCCTCGTATCCCAAGTTGCTTTCCAGAACGCTGGCGCGCACCCTCCGCCTTGTGGCTGAAAACAACCATAGCCTCAATAAGCACTCCTGGGCATTGGGGGTCAAGCCTGCCGATTTTCCCCTGCAGGCTAGAGTATAGTTTGGGTCTTAATCCTGTGATTGTCAGTTCGGCCTTGGGGCCAGTTCCACCTTTCGGGCTCGGGCCGTGCGAAGCCGTCGGTCTCGTTTCATCGTTCTAGTCTCGTCAGTGCGGCGGCTCCTCGCTCGCAGTCTGAGCTCGCCGCTCCGCCGGGTGGACCACGCAGAAGAAAAAGGTGGCAGGTCTTTGAGGTCCCCTTTTTCTGGCACACGGGGGGGATGGCGGAGCTGTCCTCTTTTCAAAGTAGAAGCAATAGCCAGCTGACGAGCGTGCCGTATTTCGGTTTCTGGTTCAAGCTCTCCCTCCCTCCCTCCCTCGCTTGCCCCTTCTCTCATTCAAGGACCTGGCCGTGCGAAACCGTCGGTCTCGTTTCATCGTTCTAGTCTCGTCAGTGCGGCGGCTCCTCGCTCGCAGTCTGAGCTCGCCGTTCCGCCGGGTGGACCACGCAGAAGAACAAGGTGGCAGGTCTTTGAGGTCCCCTTTTCCTGGCACACGGGGGGGATGGCGGAGCTATGTATATATAGTTCAGTGTTCCACACGTCTTTGAATCCCTAGTTGTCGCTTTCCTGCCGTCCATCCATGGCTGTTTGCTCAAAGTCTTTTTCCAGGGCATGAAGGAAGCCCTGCGACCTCTCGTCGAGGCCAGCGCCTCGGGAATCCGCGAGATTGCCCGCGCGGGCTTCCACGCTGGCGCATCCTGGGCGCTGCTGCCCAGCTGCCCTGCGGCGCCTCCCTGCCCGCCATACCCGCCTTGCCCCGCGTGCTACTGCACGTGCGGGGAGGGAGGCGGGGGCGGCGGCGCTCCTGCTGGCGGCGGCGGCGGGGGAGGCAGCCCTCCCTGGCTGACGGCCGCAGGCGGGCCGGTGTGCGACGCGGTCGCCGACGCGGTCGTGGGAGCGCTGCGCGAGGCGGTGGAGGGCTGTGTCGGCTGGGGGGCCGCGATAGGGCTGGCGCTACTCGCGCTGCTCGCGGGGTTCGGCCTCGGGCGCCTCAGCCTCGCCGCGTCAGCTCACCTCGAGCCTCGCGATGGCCCTGGTGCCCAGGGGGTCGTCGTGGCGGCTTCTCCCGGGGTGCAGAGCAGTGGTGCGCTACGCAGGGGGCGACCTCTGGCACGAGCGGATCCTGCTGTACCCAGCAACCAGTGAGACGGCTGGCGCCGGGCTCCCAGGAGCCTGCTGGGTGGTGCACACCCCCGACCGTGACATGTACATCGAGGAGCTCGAGGGGGGCTCGCCCGACGACAGCCCCGTCGAGTGGCTGGAGATGCCGCGCGACTTGCGGCTGCCCAGCGGGCTTGGGCGGGCGTATCGCTTCGAGGAGTCGCCGACGGAGGAGGTGATGAAGGGCCTCTACCGTCGGGCCTTCTCGGCCGCCCATGCCGATGCGGAGGCGCGCGGGGTGCTGCTGGAGGCGCCGGTGGCGGTGCGAACGGCTGCAGGGCGAGACGCGGCTGTGGAGGAGGCGCTCGGGGCCAACTTCTTTGGTGGCCGACGGATGACGGGCAAGAGACCGCCTCTGGGGCTGGGCCTCGGAGGAGACCACGGAGGCCACGCTGGACCGGCAGCTGCGGCCGCGGAGGGCATCGGCGACAGCGGCGCCCCTGGGCCTGCGGTTGAGGGGACCGGCACGCCACGCTCGAGCGGACGTGTCTGGCGAGCAGCCGAGGCCGACGAGCGTTGCCGCATCGCGCTGGGGGACGAGTTGGGGCCTCCTGCGCAGTCTCTCTGCGGCAAGGGGCTGTACCTTGCGGCGCCCGGGCGAGCCGCGGTGGCGCACCTGGCGGGGCTCGACCAGAACTCCTTCGTGATGAGCCTGCGCGGTGGCGAAGGCCACCCCCTGAGTGCTGGCGCCGAGAACGGAGGAGGAGGAGATGCCCGAACTTTGACGGTGAAGAGTGGGCCGCGGGGCCGAGGCCGTGAGTGGCGCGAGGTCGTGGACGGCTGCGAGGAGGAGCCCTTCGGTGACTTCCCAGCGGCAGGGCCCCGGTCAGCCTGGTGGTGCTTGGATTTCTTGCGGCGGCGGCGCACCCCCACGGATCATCACTTGATGTTCAAGACGACGGCGAGGCTCCAGTCGGAGCAGTGTGGGGTGCAGGAGCACGAGCAGCTCATGAAGTACATCGAGCTGGCGGGCACCTATGACCAGCTGGACCTCAGCAACTGTGCCTTCGCCGAGGCCATCTTTCGGCGGGCGCAGACCATCGAGTGGAGCTACCACGATCGGTTGCGCGAGGCCGACTCGGCCAGCTCCAAGGACAAGATGAGTCCCGAGGAGTTCTCGGCTTTCAGCGGCTTCAGCAAGGCTGGGGACCTGCTGATGGTGGCCCCTACGCCCCTCGAGTTCGTGAAGGGCCAGGTCGAGAAGGACGCCGCCATCATGAAGAACATCAGGAAGGCCCGAGAAGAACGAGAGCTCCGCCGCAAGGGTCCCAAGGGGGAAGGCGGCGGAGGGAAGTCATGACGGCGTCGCGGGAAGGAGGCCTGAGTGCGGCCGCCTCCTTCTCGAGCTTCAAGGCCGCCGAGCCCAAGGGCTCTCCTGCATGCTTACCTGGGCGAATTCAAGTCGACGGAGTTCCAGACCGTCGAGACCTTTTCCCTGTCCCGCTACTTCGGGACGGCCAGGCCCCTGCAGAGGGCGTGGTGAACCGCTCGGTCCGGCGCCGGCTGCTGCGGCGTAACGCTTATGTGGCTGAAGCCAACCGCGCCCTTGGGGCCCTCAATGATCTGGCTGGTCGGCCGGGGGCGCCCGGCGCTCCTGCTGCCGCTGCGCTGGGCCCCCCGCCACCTGGCCTCACTCCCGCAGGAGCCCTCCGTGAGCTCCGCGGTGCTGGCGTGCACGAGGACATCGACTCGCCAGTCGTCAGCTTCGACGATTCCCTCGTCTCGCTGCCTGAGGCCGGCAACGTTCCTGTGCCGCTCGGGGAGCTGGTTGCAGGCGTGGGCGATCTTGATGTCGAGGCATCAATGCACGAGCAGCTCCTTCCACGCAAGGATGCGGAGTCCAACCTCTCTGAGGCTCCGCGACAGCCGTGCATGGATGCTGTCCTCCGAGCTCAGCCACATGCCTATGCTGGGCTGGTGCGGCGCTTGCATACGGCGGGAATGGTGACCTTCTCTGCCGCGCCGCGCGAGAGGTGCGGCCTCTTCTTCGTGCGTGAGAAGTCTGGCAAGCAGCGCATGGTGATAGACTGCCGACGGGCCAACTGCTGGTTCAAGAGGCCTTCGACAGTCGCGCTGGCGACAGGCTCTGCACTGGGAGAGCTAGCCGTGCCAGAGGGTGAGCAGCTCTACGTCGGTCACGTTGACATCTGCGACGCCTTCTATCACTTCGGATTGCCTGAGGCTTTCCGAGATTATTTCGCGCTGCCGGCGATGAAGGCAGGTGATGTGGGGCTGACTGTCCTGGGTGGAAGGTCCCTCGCGCCTGGCAGCCGTGCGTGGCCAGTCCTGGCGGTGCTGCCCATGGGCTGGTCGCATGCGCTGTATTGGTGCCAGACCATTCACCGCGGGATCGTGAGCTCCATCCCCGCGCTGCTCGACGTTCCGTTCATGTCGGACAAGAGTGTAGTGCCGCCGGTGCAGCCACTGGCGATGACTATATATGCGGATAATTTTCTCGCCTTGGGTACGGATCCCGAGGCCGCTTCCCGCGCAGTGAAGCTCGTCAACGCTGCCTTGACGTCCAGAGGGTTACCCACCCATGAGGTCTGTATGTGCGATCATAATGCCGACATCCCGGGGTGGGAGATTCGAGGGCGAGAGAGAGAGAGATTCGACCAAAGAGATCAAGGCTGTGGAGACTTCGCATGGCACTCGATTGTCTGACAAGCAAGGCCGTGGTGAGTCCAAAAGAAGTCGAGAGAGTGTTGGGCCATTGTACCTTTGTTGCACTTCTCTGCCGTGAGCATTTGTCGATCTTCAGGTCCGTCTATGCCTTCATTCGGCGGTTGGGCCACTGTACCGCGGTCCCTCTCTGGGAGTCCGTCCGTTGGGAGTTAAATACGTTCTCGAGTTTGCTGTGTCTGATTTCCAGGAAGCTGCAGGTGTCATGGAGTTCTAAGGTGATGTGCACGGACGCGTCCTTTTGGGGCTTCGGACTGGTCTGCAAGGACCTCGACAAGGACCTCGTGGGCTCGATGGGCTGTTTCTCCGAACGGTGGCGTTTCTTGGGCGACAACAAGGTGCTCTCCAGGGCTTGGGCTGCAGGCTCCAATGACGACGAGATCATGACGAAGCCTCTAGAGAGCTCCAAGGACTTCCAGCAGTTCGTGGAGGATGAGGAGGCTAACAAGGAGGCCCGCACGCGGGCCGCTGGACGTCTTCCCGAAGCGGTTCGTGAGGAAGGTTGGGCTGTTGTGGGCTCGCACAAGTGGGGATCTCCGCCTGACAACATCGTGGAGGGGGAGGCCAGGGCTATCGCTTTTGGGGTGAAGCACATCTGCAGATCCACGAAGGCCTTTGACTGTCACCACCTCCTGCTCTCCGACTCCCTCTCGTCCGTCTTGGCTCTGGGCAAGGGCCGATCCTCGGCCCCCGGCGTCAGCGGCGCGCTGCGCTCCGTGGCAGCGCATGTCGCGGCGACGGGGCTCCGGCTCAGTGCCCGCTGGCTGCCTAGCGAGTGGAAGTTTGCCGACGGTCCTTCGCGAGGGCTGCGGCACGCTGGATACGCTCGTGCTGGAATCGGCCAGGCTGGAGCGTCGCCAGGCGGCTGCCCCGGCGGAGGAGGCCCGCTCGGTCCTGCGGATCCGCCCGGTGCCGCCGAGCCGGGCGACGTCGGCACCGTCGCTTCGGAGGCTTCTTTGCGACGACCTGGCTGGCTCGCCACCGCTCTCCGAGGCGCGGGCTCCGCCTGCGGCCGACGAGGTGAAGCGGAGGAAGCCGGCCCGGCGCGGAGCCAAGCTGGCCGAGGCGGAGACGCTGGACGCGCCACGGCTGAGCACGGTGCGGACGCAGACAGTGAGGGCCAGGTTCCAGCAGCTGGGCGCCGAGTTCGACGAGTGG